CGGCCCGTTCACAAAAAAAACACCACATGAACGGCCGGTCACGTTCACGGGTCCGGCACTGCACACACACACACACACACACACACATGCACGCACGCACACACGCACACAGACACACCCGTGCATGCACACACACACACACACACGCACACACACTCGTGCATGCACATACACACACACACACACACACACACACACACATACACAACCTCGCACGCACACACACTCTCTCTCTCTCTTTCTCTCTTTCCCTCTCTATCTCTCTATCTCTCTCTCTCTCTCTTCACTTTCTCTCTCTTCCCACTCTCTCTCTCTCTCTCTCTTTCTCATACACACACACACACACACACACACACACACACACACACACACACAATCAATCAATCAATCAATCAATCAATCAATTAATCAATCAATCAATCAAACCAATCAAATCAATCAATCAACCAAACCAATCAAGATTGGTTTGATTGATTGGTTTGGTTGATTGCTTGATTTGATTGATTTGATTGATTGATTGATTGGGTCTCTCTCTCTCTCACACACACACACACACACACACACACACACACACACACACACACACACACACACACACACACACATATTCATTTAAAAAGCCTGTTTTTTATTATTATTATTATTTTTATTTTTATAATTTTTTATTTATTTTTTATTCTTCTTTTATTACGATAAAATTCTGAAAGAAAAAACCCCTTTTTTGAGGGTTGGTTTTTACCTCCGCATAAGACGCCCACCCCTTACTGAGCAACCAACTTGGATGGTACTTGTTGTTTTCTGTCCGACTTAAAGAAAACAAGCGGACTCTGTTATTAGGCCCAAACAGAGCCCTACCATGGGCCTTCCTTTAGGACTAGCCTAGTACCCGGATGCTTAATGCTTCTGAGGAATAGGACCAGGCCCCTGCGGGTCTTCATCTTGTCGGTTTTTGTGTCGTTCGCTGTAGCCTCCTGTGAAATTTTTTTTGGCAGCATACACATGTATATATTTGGATCCAGCGACAATTGAAACCCTCAAAGTGAATGCGCTCGACTGCCGCTGCGAATGGTTGCTTGCAGGATTGCGCTAGTTGCGTGAATGCGCCGTTAACCTTCCTTTTGACCCATCCGCGGTGTCAGCCTGGAGTAGCATCTGCTTCGCCATAGCTGGTTTCTGCTCAGATTTAATCGCGTGACTATTCTTGGTCGTGAGTACCTGAGTACGTGGTGACGTCTACACGTAACTGTTTTCCCTCGTCTCACTCCTAGCGAAAAAAAAGGGAGGACGTATCTTGTCTGTCATGGCAACAACAGGGGTAATTCCGTTCTCCCATTCTGTCCCTCCCCTTACCCCCTACCTCCCACCTTTCGCCCTGTATGTTCTCTCCTCTCCTCTCACCTCACTCTAATTAGTCCCACCAGGGCCACCACCCACCCCCTATGTCCCACTTTTTGCCTCATAACGTCCTCCCCTCCTGCCTCACTCTAAATGGTCTTGTCTAAGGATCTATGACCATCCCCTGTATGATACTCCATCCCTTTCAGTATGTTATGAAAGAGGTTTTTTTTCTCTGAAGAGCCAATCTGATGGGGGTCAGTGAAAAGTACTTAAGAGCTTGCTCCATCGCCCTTTTTATTCATACGTCGGCACATGGGGGCCGCTCGACCGGATTGGGATCCCGTATCATCTCCTTTCTTCTTCGCTACCCCTTCCCGTTGCTTGTTCCCCTTGTTGATCTGATACGTTGTCCTTTGCCGCCATTATTCAAGTTGCCGTCTACATGTTCTGTTTGATGTGCATGATGGGATTGGCTGCCTAGGGTCTCCTGGCTTCAGGTTGATCTGTGAGGAGCGGACTAATAGAACTTCTTGCGGCTGCGCACATAGCGCTTGTTTTTTTGATTGCGTTCATGGCTTACCTGGCGTTTCTGACGTTTATGGATCTACAATTCCTCTTAACGATTTCAGGAGAATCAGGTTGTCGTAACTCGTCCTTTGTTCCCTCATCTAGGTGGTGCAAGGCGCTTTAATTACGACGCTGCTAGAGTGTGATCTCGAAAAGATTTGAGAATCATGGGTAGAATAGCGATACGGTCGCGTGCTTGTTGGTTCCTGTTGATGTGAGGCTTGATGTTCATTACGATCTTGGTTGTTGGAACCTGTAGCTTGCTGCTTTTGGCTAGCTATGTTTCGAGCCCGCTGTCTTCTGCTTCCTGTCCTGCGTCCCCACTCATGCCCCCCTCTGCTCTTTCCTTATCTTGGGCCATTGCATCCCTCATCCTTCTCCTCTGCTTTTGCTTTGTTACGCTGCTCTTGGCCATAATAATGCTTTTCGCAATGCTGCACGCTTGTTTTTCTATGTTTGATCACGATGTTTTGCAAGGTGGCTGGCATCCCTCATTAGTGATGAGTAGTGTGAACTTAGGTGTTGACGTTGGTTTTTGACTGCTGCTTCCGGGAGGGAACAGCTAATGACATGGTTAGATGCTCACATCATAACGATCTTCGTGAGGAGCTTCGGTTGGATCATATGCATTTCTGTATAGTGTGTGTGTTCGGTTCTCCGGGCATCTTGACTATCACATAAGATTAGCACATCTCTAGCAATAGACTCATAATTTTGTGCTTGCTTATCTTCCGAGAGGATATGTAATTTGGGATACTGCTGCCTCGATGGGAATATCCCTTAAAGTTGGTTTCGCAAGGATGCATGCGTGTTCTTACGGAATAATTAGTGTTGGTTTTATGGCTGTAAGGATTCTTGTTGGATGAATGGATGCCCATTGATGATCGTGTGTTGAACTTTCCTCGTTTTTTGTGGCTTATGCTGGATTTAATCGCAGCATATCACATTGCCAGGAGTTATTGATTCATGCTCTGATACGCTTTGTGTCCTGAGTTACGTGATTTGTTGTCTAATTCATGGGTGAACGACTTGAAGCCCTCTGATGTCTTCTTTAATCGCACCCATTCTTGTCGTCTCTGTGAATTAGCTTACCTGGGTCGCTTCATCTGTTGTGTAGTTCGTGAGTGTATGGGTTGAACCCCTCTGAAGTCTTCTTCAGTCATACCCATTCTTGTCGTCGCTGTGACTAGCCTCCCTTTGTTTGATAGAGGAGAGGAATTTTATTCACAATGATGGATTGCTTTCCTCGTTCCCTCATTGGACCTTAGTATATCTAGTTCGGAGGTAATTATGATTTACAAGGTTGATGGACCAGTTTGGAGCATCGTATTGGATTTGAGTGGTGAAGTGATACCTGATGCTTGGTTGTCTTTTCCTCGCAGTTTTTTGGTAAAAGTTAGTGACGAAATGTTGCTTAATCTTGATGTTGTTCATGCCACTTCATGGAGCACGTGTCCTTACGTAACATGCTGCGACACGGTCGCATGAGCCTAGCTTTGAAACATTACACACGCACAGGGAGTTATTTCTCTTCTTGCTTGCGACGGGGTCAGACTCCCTATCGCCATGTTATTGTTTGGAAAAAGTGTTTACCAACATCGTTATGAGCTTGCATTTTTAGTCTTCCTGTTTACCAGAACGGAATGACGGGATGGCCAAACCTTTTCGAAATAATTCCCGGCTATTTCTGATTAGTGCTGCAAATTAAATTTTCCTCACCTTGTGGATTGTTTTTCCTGTGGGCAGGTTCCCCCTTCGTTCCCGGGCAATGGATGGTATACCGATTTGCTGCTTGGGGACATGATATGGCTTGACTCGTTCTGTGCCCCGTCTCGCCCACACAAGCCCTAATCTCTCTTGCATCCCTGACCATCCTGGAATTTGTCAAAATCCACTCAGTTAATGCCTCCCCCTCGTTAATCACTGTTCTCTCCTTTGATCAATGGGCTGATCTCCTGTGGACAGCGACCCACAACAAACCTGAGTTCCTCAAACTCACCAAGTACCTCGTGACCCATACGTCCGAGTCTGACATAGCTAGCGAGGATGAGCTAGTTTCGTCGTGCATTGATAATGACCTCGTAATGAAGGAGAGAGTTTTTGTGGAGATGTTTGGTGCGGAGTCTAATTTCCATGTTGGCCTCGTCTCTACGGAGCAGGCGGACTCGGATGGTGACGAAGGGGAGTATGAGGAGGAGGATGGGGAGTCGTTACCTCTTACGGAGGAGGAGAAGGCGTTTCATGCGATGATGGTAGAGGAAGGGAAGAAGGTTAGAATCAGGGCGGTAGCAGACAATCAGAGAGTCAAGATCAACAAGTATGTTCGCAATGCGTTCCTTCCCACCGTCCCCCCGAGGTGGGTAGAGGCTCAGTCCAGGGATGTTGACGACAAGCTATGGGATCTATACACGTTCAATTACGTGGCCCCGATTCACGCGGATTCCTATAGATTTTTGGCGTCCCTCACTGATGAAGAAATGAAGAAGTGTAGGGAGAAGGCGCTTATGGAGAATACTGACCTGATCAAGGGGAACTACCCCCTCACCGCTGATAGCATGAAGCTCCCTGTCATCGGGGACTTCGACCGATCGAAGTGTGTCGTGTGGCCTTCTGCTCTCGCCATTAGGCGTTTCTTAGCCCCAAAGACCGAAGCACCCATAGCTGAGCTAAAGCGAATCTGGAATGTCGGTAGACCATACCTGAAAGGCCAGTGTGTCGCGAGTGGAAAGGGAGACTGTGGAAATAATATTTCATGGTTGGACCACGTGTTGTGGTACCTTTTATCCGATCTCTTCTATCTCTTCCCCCATGCCCCTTCTCTTCGTGCACGTGCCCGTGCCTTCAGGTTGAGGGCAAAAACCACGTGGCGTGCCCCCATGCCTGCGTCGGTAGTTTTCACCCACATGAGGGAAGTAATGGTCAAGATGGCATTCAATGTCACAATTAACCCTACGAGAACCGCGTAGAACATTCTGAATGATCCGGACATTATGCTGCACAAATTTCCAAAGACCATGGCCAAACTCATCCTTCCTAACAGGTTTGCATACGCAGCAAGCAAAAGGAAGAGGAAGGAAGTTGCGACTGCCTCTGCCTCCAAGCAACCAAGAAACAAGCAGCCATCTATTCTGCAGTTCTATGTTGCGCCCGCACATGCGGACAGGGAGGAATCGGTCTGTCACCAGCCAGCACCTTCGAGCTTGAGCACCCCTCCTTCTTCCTCTGTTACGGTTCAGGAGGATGGTCAGGCCTCGGCATGCAGCAAACCCCTCAGGAGGAGCCCCAGAGGCTTGATGACCTCTAGGGCATCACTTTTCAAGAGTTGACCGGCTTCCATGATCGTTTCGTTGCAGACGCGAATGAGTTTTTTCTACATATTAAGTACACCAGCAGGGTCATGGAGTCTGTCAATTTCAGACCTATCCTTGAGAGAGTTGTTGACTGTTTCTTTCCTCGTGAAGCGAGGGAGCTTTTATCCTTGGTGGTCATTGGATGGACTTACCTCAGATCACTGGAATTTGTCGTATACATGCCTGCAACCGTATTTCGGGATTTCTGTTTGGATGAATGGTTGAATTTTTGCCGTGGATTCCAATTTTGTCTTTGCTATACCAAACATTTTTTACCCCATCATCTCCTTGCACGTTGGACATGGCCCAACCTTTCCCATCTCCATCTTCCCATGTGTTGTCCTTGGATCCCTCTATCTGTGCGAATCCTAAGCTATCTGAATTGTTAGCCCAAGGCCTTAACCACATCCCGCTTCACTTGAACAACCCCTTGGTTGCCCTTCATGAGTTCATCAAGGCCTGGAGGCTGATTGAGGGATTCCTGTGTGAAAGGATGCACATACCCAAGGCAATGCAGACTCGAGCTTTTTCTTTTATTGTTGGGGGGAAACAACTTGGCTGTGCTAAATTGAAACCACATGAGGATCTCCCGTTTGTCCTCTCCATTCATGCTGTCAAGCATGAGTTGGACTGCCTCACAAAGAGACTTTTTATTGTCGGCACTGATAAAGCTGCAAATACCTTGTCCTTCGTTTGCATCCACTTGATCAGGAAGCTTGCCTTGGAGAGATTGTCTAGTAGCGACTTCGTGTCTATCCCTACTGCAGCGGAAGAAATTTTTGGGGAAGCCGTTTTCTCCCTAGCAAATTTCCTCCCCTCGGTGAACATTGGCCCTAGGAGGTTACCCTACCTAATGGCTCTCTCTCAACATCATAAGCTGTCCTTTAGGTGGTTGACAGATGCTTCCATGACCTTTCTTACTCCTACTGCTAGCTTGTGTGATGTCGTCCTCAAGTGTCTCACCCCTAATGTTATGGCGCACTGTAAGCTGGTCTCTGATGGCCTACGCGGTTTTCATGGAATTGATACATCCTTATGGTGGGCCATTGATTCGGTACAGGACTATTGCCACAACATTCCTGATAAGGTATTCTCTGTTTTTTCGGCAGATATCACTAGGTGCTTTGAAACTATTCCAACTGATTCATCTGAGGATAGTTTGATCGCTGCAGTGGCCTTTTTTGTCAGACTTGCTTTTAAGCACACTTCTTCTCAGTCGACAAGACAGAGTATTAGATGTAAGATCAAGAACAATGGTCCGTTTGCCTGTACCATGGATAAAACCAGGAAAGAACCAACTTTCAGGATGTTCTGGCTGAGTATTAGGGATGTGATTCTACTCACGGAATGGTTATTGGCCCATTGTTTCACATCGTTTGGAGGAAGAATCTGGAGGCAAGTCTTGGGGATTCCCATGGGACTGTCGTGCTCTCCTACTTGGTGTACAACATATTTTTTCAAGTATGAGTACGGACTGATTATGAGACTTGCAGACAGGAGAGCCTCCTTTCTTCTTCCTCTATTTAAACATACGTTTTCTTACATCGATGACCTCCACTCGCTTAATAACCCTTCGATCCTCAAATATTTGGAGAAACCGCCAATGGGTGAGGATCCTGATCTCTATACACTCTACCCCCGTCACCTCATCGAGATTAAGAATCAAACGGAAATCTTTGAGGTAGAGGAGTAAGGGGATGTGTATGGATTGAAGGCTCAGTTTTTTAATGTGAAAATCACTGTGACATCAGACGTGACAGGCTCGTTTTGTACTTCCAAATACGATAAACGGCTCTCTCTGAATTTCCCAGTGATCAGGTATGTAAAAATGGCCTCCAACAGGCCTATCCAACAGTCCTTGAACATTATCTTGTCCCAGGTGGCCACGATCCTGGTCCTCTGCTCGGATCCCAGAAATGCAGCAGAAGAGATTATGAGGGTAATCTCCTACATGACCAACAATGGTTTTTCCCGCCAAAGCTGTGTCTCCTCAAAATTTCCTCCTTCCCAGGGCAGATCCAACAGCAACAATTAAGGAATTCCGCGTGAGTAATCTGCATATTAACTACATTTATGTACGAAAGCTTTGACGAATTGGTTGTTTCTGGTGATTGTGTGGGTGTCTTGGTGACCCCTACCAGTAGGGTTGCTAAGGTAGCTAACGGGTATCTTGCCTAAGGCAGGTACCTGCTACCTGCCTTAGCAAGCCACGCCTAGCGGGGAAGGGGAGGGTCACACACACACACACAAACACACACACACACACACACATATTCATTTAAAAAACCTGTTTTTTATTATTATTATTATATTTATTATTATTATAATATTATTATTATTTATTTATTATTTATTCTTCTTTTATTACGATAAAATTTCGAAAGAAAAAAACCCTTTTTCGAGGGTTGGTTTTTACCCCCGCATAAGACGCCCACCCCTTACTGAGCAACCGACTTAGATGGTACTTGTTGTTTTTTGTCCGACTTAAAGAAAACAGGCGGACTCTGTTATTAGGCCGAAACAGAGCCCTACCATGGGCCTTCCTTTAGGACTAGCCTAGTACGCGGATGCTTAATGCTTCGGAGGAATAGGACCAGGCCCCTGCGGGTCTTCATCTTGTCGGTTTTTGCGTCGTTCGCTGTAGCCTCCTGTGAAAACTTTTTTGGCAGCATACACATGTATATATTTGGATCCAGCGACAATTGAAACCCTCAAAGTGGATGCGCTCGACTGCCGCGGCGAATGGTTGCTTGCAGGATTGCGCTAGTTGCGTGAATGCGCCGTTAGCCTTCCTTTTGGCCCATCCGCGGTGTCAGCCTGGAGTAGCATCTGCTTCGCTATAGCTGGTTTCTGCTCATATTTAATCGCGTGACTATTCTTGGTCGTGAGTACCTGAGTACGTGGTGACGTATACACGTGACTATTTTCCCTCGTCTCGCTCCTAGCGAAAAAAAAAGGGAAGACGTATCTTGTCTACCATGGCAACAACAGGGGTAATTCCGTTCTCCCATTCTGTCCCTCCCCCCACCCCCTACCTCCCACCTTTCACCCTGTATGTTCTCTCCTCTCCTCTCACCTCACTCTAATTAGTCCCACCAGGGCCACCACCCACCCCCTACCTCCCACTTTTCGCCTCATAACGTCCTCCCCTCCTGCCTCACTCTAAATGGTCTTGTCTAAGGATCTATGACCATCCCGTGTATGATACTCCATCCCTTTCGGTACGTCATGAAAGAGGTTTTTTTTCTCCGAAGAGCCGATCTGATGGGGGTCGGTGAAAAGTACTTAAGAGCTTGCTCCATCGCCCTTTTTATTCATACGTCGGTGCATGGGGGCCGCTCGATCGGATTGGGATCCCGTATCATCTCCTTTCTTCTTAGCTCCCCCTTCCCGTTGCTTGCTCCCCTTGTTGATCTGATACGTTGTCCTCTGCCGCCCTTATTCAAGTTGCCGTCGACATGTTCTGTTTGATGTGCATGATGGGATTGGCTGCCTAGGGTCTCTTGGCTTCAGGTTGATCTGTGAGGAGTGGAGTAATGGAGCTTCTTGCGGCTGAGCACATAGCGCTTATTTTTTTGATTGCGTTCATGGCTTACCTGGCGTTTCTGTCGTTTATGGATCTACAATTCCTCAGAACGATTTCTGGAGAATCAAGTTGTCGTAACTCGTCCTTTGTTCCCTCATCTAGGTGGTGCAAGGCGCTTTAATTACCACGCTGCTACAGTGTGATCTCGAAAAGCTTTGAGAATCATGGGTAGAATGGCGACACGGTCGCGTGCTTGTTGGTTCCTGTTGATGTGCAGCTTGGTCTTCATTACGATCTTGGTTGTTGGAACCTGTATCTTGCTGCTTTTCGCTAGCTATGTTTCGAGCCCGCTGTCTTCTGCTTCCTGTCCTGCGTCCCCACTCATGTCCCCCTCTGCTCTTTCCTCATCCTGGACTGTTACATCCCTCCTCCTTCTCCTCTGCTTTTGCTTCGTTACGCTGCTTTTGACCATAATAATGCTTTTCACAATGCTGCACGTTAGTTTCCCTATGTTTGATAACGATGTTTTGCAAGGTGGCTGGCATCCCTCGTTCGTGATGAGTAGTCTGAACCTAGGTGTTGACAGTGGTTTTTGACTGCTGGTTCCGGGAGGGAACCGCTAATGACATGGTTAGATGCTCGCATCATAACGATCTTCGTGAGAAGCTTCGGTTGGATCATATGCATTTCTGTATAGTGTATGTGTTCGGTTCTCCGGGCATCTTGACTATCACATAAGATTAGCACATCTCTAGCAATGGACTCATAATCTTGTGCCTGCTTAGCTTCCGAGAGGATATGTAATTTGGGATACTGCTGCCTCGATGGGAATATCTCTTAAAGTTGGTTTCACAAGGATGCATGCGTGTTCTTGCGGAATAATTAGTGTTGGTTTTATGGCTGTAAGAATTCTTGTTGGATGGATGGATGCCCATTGATGGTCGTCAACAGAAAAATTCCCATGAGAAATTAAAGTTGAAAAAACATTCCATAAAAAAAAATCCTTCATATTTGTAAATTGTCATTCCAATGTTCGTCCAATTCGAAAATTTCCAATTTAATTTGATAAGTTCCCGTCTAAATATGAGCTCTCCCCTCCAACTACATCTATTTGTTTAAGATGGAATGAAAGTCTGGACGAGTTTATGAAATATTTTAATTATACCGTCTAATTTAGAT